TGTTTCACACGAGGCATCGGATTTAACGTCCCCATTCTGATCGGACGTGGCTGCAAATCAGTACATCCCGCACAGCCAAACGGACGCCCCACTTTAGCAAGAGTTTTACTGCAGGTCGGAGGAAGACCAACGGTGACCATACTTCTATTCCCCAGTCACCCTTGGGGTGTTCTCCCCAGTTTTGATGCCCATACCTGGGAGCTGGAGTAACTTTTGAAAACTACACGTGTTTATGTTTACAACCGACGTTTTTTTTATCGTATAAACTATAACAACTGCTTCCCCTCAAAGTTTATTTATTACAAGAAATAAACAACAATAATAAATCAACACACTATTTTATTCTTATACAATATTTATTAATGTCAAAAATGTTCCTGGTAACCCGTCCTTCTGGTCTACGGTTACAGGAAGTAAACAATACAATAATATCCAAGTCACAAATGCTTCAGGCAACCCGTCCTTCTGGTCTGCGGTTACCGGCAGTAAACAAAACAAGAAGTAGACTTTTACCTTGTCCCTTCAGGGTACCAGGCCACCTATCGTCTGACAAACAACAAAAAACAAACACAAATGATCTGCAAACAACACGGGTTTTACCGCGCTGCAAAACCCCTGAAGTGTTATGTAATGATCTCTTCTGAAAAGATTACAAAACCGCAGGTCCAGATTGTTAAAGGCTTCCCCGAATCCTTTTCTGCGGGAAATCTTGTCCAAGCGAACGTCGCCTCAATTTGAAAATAACTCTCTACTGCTTACCACCCCGCAATTAAGTGCTCGCAGCGCCAATGTTGTGATTGCCGATATATATGAGCAACTTACCACGGGTCGCTGATAGCTTTATGAGTCTGGATGGTGTCGATTCTGTCTGGTTCAGATTACTTTTGACTGTCGTCTTGTGCAATTAAACCGGAAAGAGAGAGAGAGAGCATCATGGAATCGCTGCCCATATCCGGTAGGGTCTGGCTTAATACCAACGGGGAATGCCATAGTACCAAGACACTTTGTCATTTTGTTTTCATAACAATTATTTGATCTTTATTGATATTTATTGAATACATTTTAATTACAAAGTTGCTTTTATATATAAAAACTAAAGAAAAAACAAACGCTTTATTTTTAAAATTTGTGTATTCTTGTTCAAAGAAAAATAATCTAAAAACTGAATCGCTGGTTCAGGGGTACCGATTCTCTCTGTAGTTTTGTTATTTGCTGTTTTAACATTTAGTTGTTATTCTACAAACTCTCTGTAGCGCTGCAGAATCTGTACTGGGTTTCACATATGTAATTTAAGATATACATAAAATATATGGTTATATGTTTGGAATAGCTAGAATGAAAAATGAATACAATGTGGAATTTTAAATGTCATACCAAAAACTATAAATGCATTCGGTTAAATTGTCAGGTAGAAACCAATGGTTATAAAATCTTGATTCGTTCAGTGAGAATAATGAATAAGGTATTCTTTTATAGGTATTATACCTCATCAGATGCATGTGATGAAGAATTCCTTCAATAAACGTGGAGCTCATGTAAAATACTGAGTTGATCATAATGTATACACAGTCACTTGTAAATGAAGCAATACTACAGATTTGGTGAAATGCTGCTGTACAAAAGGTTTCCAGATCTTTTAAATTTTGTAGTGTATTTATGACAATGCACATAATATGACACAAATTAGTGGTGGGTCTTTTACAAACGTGTACAATTCATTAGAATGTGGCGGATGGAAAATAGCACAAATTCAATGAGCATCATATTCAACATGTAGGGTTTACACGTCATTAGATTGGGAAACAACTTTGACTACAAATTTAGAGTTTTTTTTTTCTTTTTTGGAACACGAAATCTAGGCCGCTCTTAAGAAAACTGTTGTCAAGATGAAGATTATCATTTAAAACGGCCCCCAAGGGTGACTGGGGAATAGAAGTATGGTCACCATTGGTCTTCCTCCGACCGGCAGTAAAACCCTTGCTAAAGTGGGGCGTCCGTTTTGGCTGTGCGGGATGTACAAATTTGCAGCCACGTCCGTTTAGAATGGGGACGTTAAATCCGATGCCTCGTGTAAAGAGAGTGCCACGCTCTTTGCACGTAAAGAACCCTTTCAACAACTGTTTGAGGGGTCCGTAGGTGACCTGTTGATAGGCTAAATTTTCTCTCTATATCCAATATACCCTCATTTCCCGTGGCAGTCTAAATTTCTCCGACCTTTATCCCGGACGCCCCTATTACAGAACATACCTATTGTATTAATTGATAATTTGTTCTCGTCCTGAATATGCATGAAATATTTGCCACTGGACGTTAAGCAACCAACAATCAATCAATCAATCCTAAGACTGCCGACATGTCGCCAAGAGAGTTGCTGATGTATTTTGGTTTTTGATTCGTGGTAATTAATTTCGAAAAAGATAATGACGTAAACAGTATTGTTAAATTTAGTTGCAAGTAGAAAAGTGTACTCATCCTTTGGAATTAACCTCATACCGCTGGACTTTTTATTTTTTTCTTAGTGTTCTTCTTTTTTTTAGACAATATACCATCGACATCCGATGATAACATACTGTTGCATACGTTAACTATTTAAACAGAAAGGGTATGTGAAAGAATCATTTACCCTACAATATCAAAATATAATTATTTTGTGTTTGATTGACCATTACTACATAAAAACTATCTTATCTTTAAATTCTTAAATACAGGCATGGAATAAAACATAGTTTCAGAATAAATGACAACGGCAAACACATGCTATTGCCTATAAAAGTTCAATTACCGTTAAATCTTCAATCTCTGTTTTTAAAAGAAGTATTGTGTAACCTATGATAGCTGATATCAATTTCAATGAGGACATTATGTGCGAGTTGTCTCATATGCAATCATATGACCCTTTTTTTAAATTGAGACGGATGAACAGCAATAAAAGTGCTGTTCCTTTGCTTTTTTTTTGTGTGTATGTGTGTTTTATATTTTGATATGGCCTTACCTAAGAATTAAACGTTGTAGGACATTCTTGAGGCCAGAACTGATAAACTTGTCTGCCTTGTTGTCATGTTTCTGCTTTTCGGTATGAACTGACGACATCTCTAGTCTTCAATGTGTAGGACTACCATGTTTTTTCTTTCATTTTCTGATAATCCTGGCAAAATGACTGACAACCCTGATACCAGGAAATCATTCAATACTACTTTACTAAGAATTACAAAGTAAAGATTTAACCTAGTAAAAAAGCCATTTCATTATATATTTTGCATAACATATTGTGTACGTAGTACATTCATGCCACAGTAAAAACTGGTAAGAAAAAACTTCTTTACTTTGTGTAAATAAAAAACTTGAAAATTTAAATACTGATGGCTAGAACATTCTGCAAATCTTCCCCGTCTGCTGAAGAAAACAATATTACCTATTTTATATGCATGGTTTTGTTAAGTTTATATTAGTCCCCTACCGGCTAAGCTGAAGGGGACTTTTGGTTTGCTTGCTCTCTATCCGTCAGTCTATCTGTCAGTCCGGCAAATCAGTTTTCCACACTTTTTTCATAATGCTTAAATATATTGATTTGAACCCCCAAGGGTGACTGGGGAATAGAAATATGGTCACCATTGGTCTTCCTCCGACCGGCGGTAAAACCTTCGCTAAAGTGGGGCGTCCGTTTGGCTGTTTCACACGAGGCATCGGATTTAACGTCCCCATTCTGATCGGACGTGGCTGCAAATCAGTACATCCCGCACAGCCAAACGGACGCCCCACTTTAGCAAGTGTTTTACTGCAGGTCGGAGGAAGACCAACGGTGACCATACTTCTATTCCCCAGTCACCCTTGGGGTGTTCTCCCCAGTTTTGATGCCCATACCTGGGAGCTGGAGTAACTTTTGAAAACTACACGTGTTTATGTTTTACAACAACTGCTTCCCCTCAAAGTTTATTTATTACAAGAAATAAACAACAATAATAAATCAACACACTATTTTATTCTTATACAATATTTATTAATGTCAAAAATGTTCCTGGTAACCCGTCCTTCTGGTCTACGGTTACAGGAAGTAAACAATACAATAATATCCAAGTCACAAATGCTTCAGGCAACCCGTCCTTCTGGTCTGCGGTTACCGGCAGTAAACAAAACAAGAAGTAGACTTTTACCCTGTCCCTTCAGGGTACCAGGCCACCTATCGTCTGACAAACAACAAAAAACAAACACAAATGATCTGCAAACAACACGGGTTTTACCGCGCTGCAAAACCCCTGAAGTGTCATGTAATGATCTCTTCTGAAAAGATTACAAAACCGCAGGTCCAGATTGTTAAAGGCTTCCCCGAATCCTTTTCTGCGGGAAATCTTGTCCAAGCGAACGTCGCCTCAATTTGAAAATAACTCTCTACTGCTTACCACCCCGCAATTAAGTGCTCGCAGCGCCAATGTTGTGATTGCCGATATATATGAGCAACTTACCACGGGTCGCTGATAGCTTTTTGAGTCTGGATGGTGTCGATTCTGTCTGGTTCAGATTACTTTTGACTGTCGTCTTGTGCAATTAAACCGGAAAGAGAGAGAGCATCATGGAATCGCTGCCCATATCCGGTAGGGTCTGGCTTAATACCAACGGGGAATGCCATAGTACCAAGACACTTTGTCATTTTGTTGTCGAGCCTGCGACTTTTGTCGCAGAAAGCTCGACATAGGGATAGCGGCGGCGGCGGCGTTAGCTAACTTCTTAAAAGCTTTATATTTTAGAAGGTGGAAGGTCTGGATGCTTCATACTTTGTATATGGATGCCTCATGTTACGAAGTTTCCGTCAGTCACATGTCCAATGTCCTTGACCTCATTTTCATGGTTCAGTGACTACTTGAAAAAAAAGTTAAGATTTTTTGTAATGTTAGATTCTCTCTTATTATAAGTAATAAGATAACTATATTTGGTATGTGCGTACCTTGCAAGGTCCTCATGCCCGTCAGACAGTTTTCACTTGACCTCGACCTCATTTCATGGATCAGTGAACAAGGTTAAGTTTTGGTGGTCAAGTCCATATCTCAGATACTATAAGCAATAGGTCTAGTATATTCGGTGTATGGAAGGACTGTAAGGTGTACATGTCCAACTGGCAGGTGTCATCTGACCTTGGCCTCATTTTCATGGTTCAGTGGTTATAGTTAAGTTTTTGTGTTTTGGTCTGTATTTCTTATACTGTATGCCATAGGTCTACTATATTTGGTGTATGGAATGATTGTAAGGTGTACATGTCTAGCGGGCAGGTGTCATCTGACCTTGACCTCATTTTCATGGTTCAGTGGTCAAAGTTAAGTTTTTGAGTTTTGGTCTTTTTTTCTAATACTATGTGCAATAGTTCAACTATATTTGGTATGTGCGTACCTTGCAAGGTCCTCATGCCCGTCAGACAGTTTTCACTTGACCTCGACCTCATTTCATGGATCAATGAACAAGGTTAAGTTTTGGTGGTCAAGTCCATATCTCAGATACTATAAGCAATAGGTCTAGTATATTCGGTGTATGGAAGGACTGTAAGGTGTACATGTCCAACTGGCAGGTGTCATCTGACCTTGACCTCATTTTCATGGTTCAGTGGTTATAGTTAAGTTTTTGTGTTTTGGTCTGTTTTTCTTATACTGTATGCCATAGGTCTACTATATTTGGTGTATGGAATGATTGTAAGGTGTACATGTCTAGCGGGCAGGTGTCATCTGACCTTGACCTCATTTTCATGGTTCAGTGGTCAAAGTTAAGTTTTTGAGTTTTGGTCTTTTTTTCTAATACTATGTGCAATAGTTCAACTATATTTGGTATGTGCGTACCTTGCAAGGTCCTCATGCCCGTCAGACAGTTTTCACTTGACCTCGACCTCATTTCATAGATCAATGAACAAGGTTAAGTTTTGGTGGTCAAGTCCATATCTCAGATACTATAAGCAATAGGTCTAGTATATTCGGTGTATGGAAGGACTGTAAGGTGTACATGTCCAACTGGCAGGTGTCATCTGACCTTGACCTCATTTTCATGGTTCAGTGGTTATAGTTAAGTTTTTGTGTTTTGGTCTGTTTTTCTTATACTATATGCAATAGTTCAACTATATTTGGTATGTGCGTACCTTGCAAGGTCCTCATGCCCATCAGACAGTTTTCACTTGACCTCGACCTCATTTCATGGATCAATGAACAAGGTTAAGTTTTGGTGGTCAAGTCCATATCTCAGATACTATAAGCAATAGGTCTAGTATATTCGGTGTATGGAAGGACTGTAAGGTGTACATGTCCAACTGGCAGGTGTCATCTGACCTTGACCTCATTTTCATGGTTCAGTGGTTATAGTTAAGTTTTTGTGTTTTGGTCTGTTTTTCTTATACTATATGCAATAGTTCAACTATATTTGGTGTATGGAAATATTTTATGATCTATTTGGCAGTCACGCAGGTTTTATTTGACCTTGACCTCATTTTCAAGGTTCATTGCTCAGTGTTAAGTTTTTGTGTTTTGGTCTGTTTTTCTTAAACTATAAGCAATAGGTCAACTCTATTTGTTGTATGGAAGAATTGTTAGCTGTACATGCCTGCCTAGCATGGTTCATCTGACCTTAACCTCATTTTCATGGTTCATTGGTCAATGTTTAGTTTACTTGGTTAATGTTAAGTTTATGTGACAGTTGTAATAAAGCTTTATATTTAGGACTATCAACATAATATCAATGATTAGTAAAGAAGGCGAGACATTTCAGCGTGTGCACTCTTGTTTTCATAACAATTATTTGATCTTTATTGATATTTATTGAATACATTTTAATTACAAAGTTGCTTTTATACAGACACTTTGTCATTTTGTTTTCATAACAATTATTTGATCTTTATTGATATTTATTGAATACATTTTAATTACAAAGTTGCTTTTATATATAAAAACTAAAGAAAAAACAAACGCTTTATTTTTAAAATTTGTGTATTCTTGTTCAAAGAAAAATAATCTAAAAACTGAATCGCTGGTTCAGGGGTACCGATTCTCTCTGTAGTTTTGTTATTTGCTGTTTTAACATTTAGTTGTTATTCTACAAACTCTCTGTAGCGCTGCAGAATCTGTACTGGGTTTCACATATGTAATTTAAGATATACATAAAATATATGGTTATATGTTTGGAATAGCTAGAATGAAAAATGAATACAATGTGGAATTTTAAATGTCATACCAAAAATTATAAATGCATTCGGTTAAATTGTCAGGTAGAAACCAATGGTTATAAAATCTTGATTCGTTCAGTGAGAATAATGAATAAGGTATTCTTTTATAGGTATTATACCTCATCAGATGCATGTGATGAAGAATTCCTTCAATAAACGTGGAGCTCAGGTAAAATACTGCGTTGATCATAATGTATACACAGTCACTTGTAAATGAAGCAATACTACAGATTTGGTGAAATGCTGCTGTACAAAAGGTTTCCAGATCTTTTAAATTTTGTAGTGTATTTATGACAACGCACATAATATGACACAAATTAGTGGTGGGTCTTTTACAAACGTGTACAATTCATTAGAATGTGGCGGCTGGAAAATACCACAAATTCAATGAGCATTATATTCAACATGTAGGGTTTACACGTCATTAGATTGGGAAACAACTTTGACTACAAATTTAGAGTTTTTTTTTTCTTTTTTGGAACACGAAATCTAGGCCGCTCTTAAGAAAACTGTTGTCAAGATGAAGATTATCATTTAAAACAAGTTCCAATAAAAATCTAATCCTTACTTCTACTGCTTTGTTTGCTGAGCCAAACACAAGGACACTGTTCAGTCTTCTTTTCACAGGCTGAAACAATTCTGATTCTGTTTAGATTCTGCTGTCAAGATTGCAGCCACGTCCGGTCAGAATGGGGATGTAAATCATATGTCTGACACGCTCTTCGCACGTTAAGAACCATTCCAAGAACTCTTTGAGGGTCCGTAGATAGCCTGTTTCAAGGCTAATTTATGTCCCTTTTTAAATTATATCATTTTGCCAGTGGCAATTTCCCCGACCTTCATCCGTGAGATGTTGAGGTAAATGTCATGAATGTAACACACTCCTGTCTCTGCTAAATAGTTCTGTAGAGTCATCTTCAAAATAGAAGCTCCTTTTCTATTTACATGACGTCTATCCCTTCTAAGATAACAGCAGGTAAAAAGAGCTGTGAATTATCAATAAAAGAACATCTACTGTAACCGCCAGTTAAAGACTGTATATCAGCGTTAAACTTCTCGACATCTCTCTCTGCAGTTTTGGCAATGCTTACATGTTCCAATAACATAGTGGTTTACTGCACGGGGAAGTATGCCACAAATTCTTATTTCGCACAATTTAAATTTCTGCAGCAAATTCTCTTTCATCAATGTACATGACGTTATGACAAAACAAGAAACGTGTACATAGGCAAACAATATTTATCTTATTCATGCAGTAAACAAGCTTATTCAACCTATCGCAGAGAACAACAACGTAAGCGTTTTCTACAAAATTCATTACCTTAACAAACTAGGTAATTTTATATCATATAAATTGAGAAAATTCAATAACATTAAATGTTTCCAAATAATACGTGACTACAAAGTAAAATCATTTCTTAAAACACTGCAAAAACTTTCATTCGGATTGATATAGTGGTACTGTTATAAAGTGCGTTGAAATGAATAGTGGTATATCAAACATCGAATTACCTCACAAAATTGTCCAGAAATTTAACGGATTCAGTAAGGAGGGAGTAGCCCATGACTCTTTGTCTTTTGACCTAGGCCTGAGATATTTGGCTTGTTTGAATTGAATTCAAAATTTTATTTGCAGTCTACATTTAGTGAACAAATACATATTACCCAAGCTCTAATGAGCTATTCAAAATGACCAACCCCCAAGGGTGACTGGGGAATAGAAGTATGGTCACCATTGGTCTTCCTCCGACCGGCAGTAAAACCCTCGCCAAAGTTGGGCGTCCGTTTGGCTGTGCGGAATGTAAAAATTTGCAGCCACGTCCGGTCAGAATGGGGACGTTAAATCCGATGCCTCGTGTAAAGAGCGTGCCACGCTCTTTATACGTTAAGAACCCTTGCAACAACTCGTTGAGGGGTCCGTAGGTGACCTGTTGCAAAGCTAAATTTCTGTCCCTATCCAATATACTCTCATTTCCCGTGGCAGTCTAAATTTCTCCGACCTTAATCCCGGAAGCCCCTATTTCAGAACCTACCTATTGTATTTATTGTTAACTTGTTCTCGTCCTGAATATGCATGAAATATTTGCCACTGGACGTTAAGCAACCAACCATCAATCAATCAATCAATCAAAACTTATTTAAATAAGCTAGACGAATAGAAACACTATATAACTAAATGATAACTTACTTCTAATTTTAATGCCAAATTAGAGTTTTGATCCCAATTTCACGGTCCACTGAACATGTAAAAAGATAGTGCGAATGGGGCATCCGTGTACTATGGACACATTCTTGTTTTATTCCTATTCCTTCATTAGTCCCCTACCGACGAAGTCGAAGGGGCCTTTGGGTTTGCACTCCGTCCGTTTGTCTGTCTGTCAGTCTGTCCATCTGTCAGTCCAGCAAATCAGTTTTCCACACTTTATTTCTTCGTACTTGGAAGATATTGTTTTGATTTTTGATATATTGTTTAATCATGACATGTTACAGATCTAGTTCTAATTTTGTTCCGGTCTAATGATTATGTGCAGAGTTATGGTTCTTGAACTTAGAAAGTTCACTCAAATAATCAGTTTTCCGCACTTTTTTTTTGTCATGCTTGAAGATATTGACTTGATATTTGTTATATACTTTACATTATGACAAGTAATAGATTAAGTTGGCATTTTGTTCCAGTACAATGAATTTTTAACCGGTACGGGATTATGTATTGCCAGGCAATACTAACAGATTGCTTGTTACATTCAGATTTTTTTTTCAAGCTTATTGTTCATGCTAGGGGAGGGTTGAGCGCTTACAATAAAGTTTAACCCCGCCACCACATTCTGTATGTACCTGTCCCAAGTCAGGAGCCTGTAGCTCAGTGGTTGTCGTTGGTCCACGATTGTCATATTTGTTTTTCATAAATTGGTTTGTGATAAATTATGCCGTTAGTTTTCTCAATTGAATAGTTCATATTTGTCATGTCGCCTTTTATAGCCTACTACACGGCAAGGGTTTTTCTCATTGTTGAAGGCCGTACGGTTTCCTATAATTGTTTACATCCACTTTATTTGAACTTTGGTGGATAGTTGTCTCATTGGCAATCATACCAAATCTCCTTTTTCTTATATTGAAAATATTTAAGGTAATTCAATAAACACAAAAAAGGTGACGTGTTCGCTGTCAACATTGTAGAAAATCGGCACTTATTTTTTTTATTTTATTATAAAATTTTAGATATTAAATCTTTACATTTACAAACTAACATTTCAGTGATATTCTACCTTTACGATGAACACAAATGTTGCTTTGATGATAAATTATGTAAATAAACCTTTTCATCTCTTTAATCTTCAAAGAAAAGAAAAGTACAGTTATGTTGAATGTATGATTATTAATGGTTTTTAAATGCGTCAACACATTCGGCTCAGCTTAGCATGAGGTAAATGTTCCTTAGTTTCTTAAAATTTTTAATACTTTTTGTTATTTCTTTATATTTTTTATACTGAATATCTTTGTCACTAACCTCCTTAAAGGCGGACGAAAATTTTATACATTGATAATCAATACCTTCAGCGAAATATCAACGTTATGAAGATTTGTATTGAACTTACTTTTGTATATTTTTGAATGAAAGTATGTAAGAAAGAATAAGATCTTCTTTTATCTTTTAATATAAAAAGAAAAAAGGATAATTAATATCGATATCTCTGATATGTGTAAATCGTTTTGGTATGTATTTTTGAACATTTTGTCGTTTAGTTTTCGATGATCTCTCTAAAAAAGTTTTTTTTCATGAATAATCGTTATCAAAACAATTCATTAATAATACCAATAGATACAATTAAAATCCTATAATACTTCAAATATAAAAAAAAAGTTGAATATGATTTATATGCTTACACGAATGGCTTAGTTTTAATATAAAACACGACTATTTTTTTGCAGTTGAATTGAGCAACTGTTTTCAGAATTCTACAAGTTTTGCAGTTTCTAATATTACATTTCGAAATAATAGTACTGATTGAATATCTTCTTGCTGAAATTGAGAACATTTTGCTGATGATATAAATTTAAATACCGAAT